ATATCATCACCCTGGGCATTTTGGTTATTCAGAAGAAGTTGTTTAAAGGTTTTTTAAGACAATTGGCCCCTGTGACCTTGAATATAATTGAAGGTCATTCATTTGGACAAACTTGGTAGCCCTTCACCCAAGCATGCTACTGGCCAAATATCATCTCCCTGGACAGTTTGGTTATCAAGAAGAAGATGTTTAACGTTTTTTACATATTTGACCCCTGTGACCTTGAAAATGGCTGAAGGTCATTAATTTGAACAAACTTGGTAGCCCTATATCTCAGCATGCTACTGGCCAAATATCATCACCCTGGGCATTTTGGTTATTGAAAAGAAGTTGTTTAAAGTTTTTAACATATTTGACCCCTGTGACCTTGAATATAATTGAAGGTCATTTATTTGAACAAACTTGGTAGCCCTTCACCCAAGCATGCTACTGGCCAAATATCATCTCCCTGGGCAGTTTGGTTATCGAGAAGAAGATGTTTAAAGTTTTTCACATATTTGACCCCTGTGACCTTGAAAATGGCTGAAGGTCATTAGTTTTAACAAACTTTGTAGCCCTTCATCCCAGTTTGCTTCTGGCCAGATATCATCACCCTAGGCCTTTTGGTTATTAAGAAGAAGTCGTTTAAAAGTAAAATATTGACGCCGGACGCTGGACGACGGACGGACGACGGACGCCGCACAACAGCATAAGCTCACTTGGCACTTCGTGCCAGGTGAGCTAACAAAAAGTGTTGTACGAGTAAAAGAAAATATCAACTGTAATTTCTCTGTAAAACTCTAGTCCGTTAAAAATATAACAAAAGTTGTACATATTTTTATATGAATTAATTAGTGATAATATCATATATAGACATTTTACAATTGGTCAATACAAGTATAAATTATTAACCTGAAATCAAATGGTATATTGACCTCATACTCGGACTACATCTACAGACAATAATTTTTCTAGGGTTCATCAAACCATGTGTTGACCTCACTAAATGACTATACATGTACTATTTACCTCACTGATGATGATGAAGACAAACTGCCGTAGATTGCTTGTGCCGCGGTTTTGGAGGCATGCCCACGATTTGTACTTGTTCGAACCATGTCTGCTTCATTCTGTAACAAAGACTTATACATTTTAATCTCCGCCAGGATCAGCAGATAAACAACAGATGTAATAACAATGAATTAATAAAAAAATAAAAAAATTGGGCACAAATTAAAAACAATGTACAAATGCTTGTTAAAGAGACCCTCCTAATTAGAAAGTCCAATAAAGGTCTCTTAACACAGGTTGTCTCTTAATACAGGTTTAGTTCATGATCACAATATTAATGATATCACTATGATGGGAAACATTGAAAGTGATCTCTTAACACAGGTGGTCTCTTAATACAGGTGATCTCTTAATACAGGTGGTCTCTTAATACAGGTGGTCTCTTAATACAGGTGGTCTCTTAATACAGGTGGTCTCTTAACTCAGGTAGTCTCTTAACACAGGTAGTCTCTTAATACAGGTGGTCTCTTAACACAGGTGGTCTCTTAATACAGGTGGTCTCTTAGTACACAGAGCCTTCATTTACACTATGACATATTCAAGGGGTGCAGAAAGCGTAAGTGAGCGTGTACGTAACCCCTGGATATCGAGGATGACCCAAAATCTGCAAAGTAATAGTGAGGTAATCAAAATTTATTATGTAATGGCGGAAATTTGCATCATTAAAACTATCACCACAAAATAGCACAGAGTGATGATACAGCAAAAATTACATAGACTTATCACAGGTAAGTAATAAGCCTTTCATAACTTCTGACTTTTTGCTTAAAAAAAAATCCCTTCTGAAAGACGAGATGTATTGATCCATTACGTAAGGTAATGGTTATCTGGAATAGGCCAATTCATCATGGATATTGTTCTTGCGTGATTCAGGAAGTATGTTCTCACCATGTGATTCGACCTCATCGTTGACTTGTATGTTCACCTCCAGCTCATTATCACAGATTCACAAACACACATATGTACTAATCCCCTAGCGAGACAGAATATTTTCACAAAATGTTTTGTCACCGTATTATGATGATAATCATTGGCCAGGAAGTAAGAAAGTAGCTCTCCTATGTTGACAGCACACCTTTGCAGCATTGCTAAAGATTCAAATAAATAAGCCCACCTATATAATGTTACAAGTCCTGGTCGCGTGACTTGTGTAATCTAGATCTGTATCTGAAAGGATGGGAGGTCATATTGAAGGACCTATTTAGTAACATATACCGCTGATTGTATCGGAGTGTGTGTATGGTTCGCTTACAAAATATAATCTCTATCACAATTTACAGATTTCTAAATATTATGATTCAATATAATATTAATATATATTTGTTAATTGTGATAGGAAATTTATATACTGTGACACCTTGTTATACTGCCACAATTTGTCCAGAGAAATGTTGTCATTGTAAAGAGGTTTGGCGATATATTGAGGGAAATGTACAAAAGAAGTTTTTAAGAAGAAAAAACGAACCTCAAAAGTGGTTGGCAGTAAGCGAGGTGGCAGATAAAAAGGGCATTATATCAAGGTTTTACTGTATACATTTTTGCATTATTTAATGTCATATACAATTTATATAACACTTGTCTGTTCTGATAATATTTCATGAATATTTGTGTTAAAGCATGAAGATATTGATGCATACATTTCGTTTTGTTAATCTGACAAGACTTTGAGCCACTGTGACACTTATCACAATGAGGCCAAACCAAAATATGTTCGTTTCAGCTGATCTCCCTACCCGTATCTTTAGTTTATCTGCACACTGTTCAAATTATTATTCCTAGTCAAAATAAAAACAATGTGCAAACAGTTTGGAAGTTAAAGCTTCATAATTTCTGCAATCTGTTGTATCAATTAACAAATCAATCAATCAATCAATTAACAAATCAATCAATTAATCAATTAACAAATCAATCAATCAATTAACAAATTAATCAATCAATCAATTAACAAATCAATCAATCAATCAATTAACAAATCAATTAATCAATATATTATTTCAGTGTCATGTATCACATCACAGGTACCACATACAGATAAAAATATACTTTGCTGATAAAAGTTATCAATTAAAAAATACATTTTCAAGATTAAAATTGATGTTAATGCCCAGTCATAATTGGCTTATGAAAAACTTTATCATTATCTTCAAAATTTACACATCTATTTTACCTAGTTATTACTTATTAATAATATGTTGACGCCTATATTTAAACATGTGTGTAAGGTAAGCGACTTTGCAAGTGAAAATTACAAGTCATTAGATTGCATTAAAAATAAGAACTTTTGATGACTATTGAGATAAGTAAGATTATTGTTATGCACTATTGCCATATTGTATATTTCTCCTTTAATGTTTTCATAAGTAGGACAATCATACAGAAAGTGTTCTTCATTTTCAACGGTGTTTGGACAGAACGGACAATTCCTCTCTTCCAATGGTATGTTGTGAAAGCGACCAGTCTCGATCCGTAAAGGGAGGCAACCAAGTCTCAATTCAGCCTATGTGCTTCGATAGCCTCTCGGCAAATTACACAAAACATAATAATCCGGAGTTTAATCCTTTTTAAATTTGCATAGCATTTTTAAATTTAGTTTGTTAACCATTAACAGTGCTATTTATGAAACCACAAACAGAACGTATTGTTTGCTTGGCCTATGACAACACAGTTGATTCAAATACAGGTTTATAACCATACTAGCCTTAGATAAGGCATAACAATATAATGCATGAGGCGCAATCATTTACCTAACTACTGTTATTAAAGGGAAAATAATAAAGAAATGCATGTGGACACACACAATTCTGACAAAAAAATAGTTACCTGAATTTTTATTTTTTTATTTTTTTCAAGACAATATTTTTAGACTTTTAAAATCCCTGTCCCACTGCACTGTGGTTTTTCATATATAAATATGCAGTAACTTCCCTTTAACTTCAATTTTGATATAAAAATACAGTAAGGCCAGGATACTTCTGTTGAACACGTAGCTCAATCGGTCAAAGCAATACTACATCAGAATCATCCTTGGTAGATGAGGCTACAAAATTGTAAAATTGGGATTATTATTGAAATCAAAGAATCGGTATTAATTTCCTTTTCCAATTTCATGCACAATTGGTCCAATCCACGTTGAACATTAGTATTGCTAAGTGACTCTATACACCTGTGTACAGGCTGCACGTGTCAATGAACAAAGAAATTTGATCATCTGGATATCGTGTATGATTACTTCCTCGTACTTAGAAACACTCAATGTCTTGTGTAAAACATATTTCTTCTATTTTAAAATCAAATGTTTAAATCTTTCAAATGTTGTTTTCATTATTATTGAAATACTATTTATGTGAAAAGTAAAAGAAAATGAGTTGATTCTACAGGAGGAAGCATTATCAGACAATTGCAAGCCAACATGTCATATAATGGAAATTTGAAAAGATAGTCTAAATCATCTAGCTTATAAGGATCCCTAGCTGTCCCATCGCTGGCAAAAGTCTGCTTAAACCCTACCCCTGTAGTTTTTTCTTAACCTGATTTAGATGTTACTGTAGGGCGCCTGGGCTAGGTTCTACATAGTTGACCAGTGCAGGGTTAGAGCGCCAGGATAACCACCTCAGAGGTACCGATCCAGGGTTTAAAAAAATCTTAGTACAGAAAAGCATGATTTTCTTTTGTGAAATTGTTTAGCAAGGCTTTAGACATGCCAAAAATAAATTACAGTTTCTGATACATATAGGTTCAGTTTTTGCCAGTGGTATGTACATCCTTAATAATGCATTTTCAATTGATAGTATAGAAGAGAAATTTAGAAGTTATGTAACAACAATATTACAATCAAAATCATGTTTTTATGAAGGTTGAATGTCCTTAAAAAATAAGCATAACAAAGTGTCAGTGTGTCCGTGCACATGGTCAGTGGTATTGTTGATCGGTAGCAGAAAGGTGTAAGCAAAAAGGTTCTAAAACATGTCCACTAGCCAGACAGGCCTTCAATTGGTCTAGTCACACCAATACATGCATAAAAAAGTGATTAGTATTCTGATTAAATATTTAAATACAGAAGCAAGCATATATATTTATTGAAAGTTACGTATGCGTCATGTTTACAGAAAAAATGCATATATACAGCAAAACCTTTGTATTCCAACAACCTAGTGTCTATTTAAACCCAAAAGCATTCTCACATCCCTACTAATCTGACCAAAGGGTATTTTTACCCTGAATATTCCATCTAATCTGATCCTGGATATCCTGTCTAATCTGACCATGGATATTCTGTCATCCTGTCTAATCTGACCATGGATATTCTGTCTAATCTGATCCTGGATATTCTGTCTAATCTGACCATGGATATTCTGTCTAATCTGATCCTGGATATTCTGTCTAATCTGACCATGGATATTCTGTCTAATTTGATCCTGGATATTCTGTCATCCTGTCTAATCTGACCATGGATATTCTGTCTAATCTGATCCTGGATATTCTGTCATCCTGTCTAATCTGACCATGGATATTCTGTCTAATCTGACCATGGATATTCTGTCTAATCTTACCCTGGATATTCTGTCATCCTTAAAACCAATCTGACCCATGATATGCCGACATCCGTTCTAATCTGACCATTGATATTCTGTCATCCTTAAAACCAATCTGACCCTGGATATTCTGTCTAATCTCACCCTGGATATGCCGACATCCTGTCTAATCTGACCCTGGATATTCTGTCAAATGCTAAATGGAATTGAGGTTCAAATCAGCTGTTCTATATTGATCTGTCATAAATTGGCTATTTTAATGCAAACAATTTGCTATATAGCGAAATATATTCCAGACCTCCTTTATGAAAATATTTATATAGGGGGTTAATAAATAAATAAAGTGTTCCTCATAATATTAATAAATTGATATTGATTGCTACTTTTAAATGTGCATGTGTATGCCATCTACATAATCAGTTATAAAGAGCAGCCAATCAAAAGTCAAAACACAGGTTTAATTACCTCTATATCTACCTCCGTTTGTCTACTGTGCTGTGGAACGAACACAAAATCACAAGTTGTATTTGACAGAAATTTAAATAATAAAAACAATAAGCAAAATAGACCCTTGCAACTCAACAGTGTATTTGTTTGACTCTCCAAAATGAGCTTTGAATCATGTGTTTAAAAGGAAACGTCTATTTGAGGTATGTTATTTTGAACTCCCAATAATTCTGAGGAAATTCAATTTGACTCCCAAAATTGCTAAATGTCATTGACTGAAAGCCCTGCAATAATATAAATATACAAAAGTTCTGCTTTTTTGCAATATTTTCAAAGTCAAAAGAATTCATCCATATAATACTGTAATGAATTGAAAATCTATATAGCTCCAACATGAAAACACTGTTTACCTGTCTAGTTGATATGATTACGCAACAGCATCAACTCAACAACGTCCAGCAAGATACCGGTACAAATATGTCTACAGTTTGTATCAGTTTTCAGATAACATCACCTACCCATTTGTGAATCAGACGTCTTAATAATAGGTTCCCATTGGATAGGTTTAAATCCTAGAACAGCAATACCAATATAACACTCAGGTGTGGGATATATCCTTAAACCATGATCAACCATCACCGGGCTTGAGTCACATGGCGAAAGCCCTGACTGAAGCCTTTGTTGATACTAACAATGATGAATGTGCTTACAAACACCTGCTGCAGTTTAGTCAGAGGCGTTTATCTTATTTTGTACCTGTACCGTTCGTTATCGTATTTACATACCCCATATTCACTTTTATCAACCTGTCAGTATATCATATGTGTACATAATATATATTGTATATTACCTACATTTTATTTTTTGCATAATTTTTATAAAGCATCGTTTGCAAGGTCAGAGGTCACTTATTATTTATACATATAATTTAAGGATCCCCTTACCACTGCCAAAAACTGTATAATGCAACTATGGATTTTAAACTATTTTTTACCGAAAATCACGATACCTTTATGAATTTATGATAATAACAATTTGAGGTTCTTATATACCGTTTTATCACAATCTTGTTCCTAGGTCGTCTCAAAGCGGTTCACAAATTATTATCCGAGGTTATAGGGCCTTTGTGCAACCAGTCAATATCTTTCTCAACTTCCTGGGGAGCATACAGCGAGTGCTGTCATTTCGGCTAGCATTCAACAATTCTAGCACTGCCCAACCACGTACTCATTTACAGCTGAGTAAACTGGAACAAGTGGAGAAAAGTCTCATGTTCAAAGATACCACAGAATGCTGTGACGTGACTCGAACCCACAACCCTTCAGTCACCAGCTCGGCGTCGTACCACTATGCTACTGTGCCTCCGTAAACTTTAAAGCTTTAACATATAATTTCCAAAAAGAGAATAATTTAGCCAGACTGGGATTTGAAACCTGAACCTAAAATCCCAATACAATTGTTCTAACGAACTGATCATGAGCTTCCCGATTGGTGATAGATCCCTGGCCCAATCCCATAGTTGCACTAATGTTACATTGAAAACAAATTATAAACTAGAGGTTATTGTATGTATATGAACCAAAAAATAGATCTCAAATGTTTTATCTGCATCAAGAAAGGGATCCTCAAGTCTTTAAAAATAAGTAAAACAGAAAGGCCATTTCTCAAAAGTACTTTAAGTGGGTATGAAATATAAGGAGTTGTAAAAACTCTCTAGGGACAAAATATATATATTTGCTTCCTGGAATCATGTAATTTATGATATTAGTGTCATGATTTATTTGCTGCAAATGACTGTCACAATTATTTCATTTGTTTATTAATTCTACATGTGTCTAGCGTAACTGGACTGGGTCGATCATTGGCGACCAGGTAGCTCAATTGGTAGAGCGCCCGTCTAGAGTTTGGAGGGTCCCAGGTTCGTTACATTTATTCTTTCTCCCGTTACACAGTGATTAAGATTGTGTCATTTTATTTTGAACTACACATTCTTTCCATAGTTTTTTTTTTTTATTATTTGTGTGTCACTATTAGTTAATAGTGTGAATAAAAAGTTAATACATTTTCACAAATTATGTATTTAAGATAAGTACATCATACAAGTTTTTTCATTTCAAAGAATAAATATTGCTTTTTATTCTTTCTTTATTAAAAAAATATTTACATTCATTAAGTTATTTCCAACTAAAATGGTATATATGAAATAATATATATTATATTAGAGTGAAATCATGAGAGAGTACAAAATCTTTTGCTTAAACAATTAACATTCTTCACTGTGATTATGGTGGATCCAGGGGTGGGGCAGATATACCCCCCTCCCCAACCCCATCTTCTTCCTGGACACCCCCATACAGGGTTCCAGCTCACATAACAAAATCCTGGATGTGTGCCTTTGTGACATGGACACTATCAAAATCTTACTGTCTGAATAACACGTACAGTCAAAAACAAAAGTTCACTCTCTGCTTTTGATTTGTGTCTTACAGGTGAACAATTCACAAATATAAAAGACACAGCTAGGTACATTTGTATCTCTGAAGCAGGAAGAAAATATCACCACTGAGGAGGAAGTATGTGTGTATCTCAGGCTGTCACAATCTACCCTACTTAAATATGTGACAGGTATAAACGATCTTAGTATGTGTACCAGCAAAATTTTGAAAATATTTCCATAGCTATAAAAAATAAATTGTGAATTATTATACCGTTCAAAGAATGTCCTCAAATAGCAGATGTCGAGTATAATCACTACCGACAGTTTACATTGTTTGTCTGGACATTGTTGTTGCATCGGATTTAGATATCATATATCGTCATCGAGCACCCGTTTCTTTCAAAAACAGTTAAATACGTATGAGCACCTATTTAATATAAAAATCAAACAGATAACGATCGGATTTATGAATATTTATGTTCCACATTTCGTTTTATCTTACCGTGTTTATCGACATGTTCGGATGTTGAAATCACTGGACCCTGGAAACAAGCCCTGTTACCCTTTGACCACAAGGAAGAAAATATCACCACTGAGGAGGAAGTATGTGTGTATCTCTGCAGGCTGTCACAATCTACCCTACTTAAATGTGTGACAGGTATAAACGATCTTAGTATGTACCAGCAATATGTGTAAATATTTCCACAGCAATTAAAAATAAATTGTGAATTATTATACCGTTCGAAGAACGTCCTCAAATAGTCGGAATATTCTCCTCGTTACCAAGATAAAATTAATGGCAGATGTCGAGCATAATCACTACGGACAGTTTACATTGTTTGTCTGGACATTGTTGTTGTATCGGATTTAGATACATTGTCATCGAGCACCTGTTTCTTTCCAAAACAGTTGAATACGTATGAGCACCTACTTCATATCAAATCAAACAGATAACGGTCGGATTTATGAATATTTATGTTCCACATTTCGTTTTATCTTACCGTGTTTATCGACATGTTCTTAGGTTGAAATCATTGGACCAAAACAAGCCCTCAGTTACCCTTTGACCACTTCACAGAGATTAGTCTTCAGCTGATCACGCCATTTTGATCAAGGGAGATCATGTGACGTATAACGGTATAGGTTTACGCACCCACACGCTATCCTACGTGAAAAGAAAAACGACGACGACGACATACAGCGCAGAGTGGCGCTTATTTCGACTGTTGATTTTTTTTATTCAACTTCAATTTAGTCGGTTTAAATTCTTTGCATGGTTAATATTGAATTAACAAATATGAAATTATTCTTATTTAGCATTGAAAATGCTCTCAAGTCTTAATTTGCTGGGACCAGAGACGTATAATGTATTATACGTCTCTGATGGGACTAACAAGTTAATCACATAATCTCCATTTAACTTATCAACTTTTCAAAGTTTAATTTATATTTTAACATATTTCATAATTTTATCTTTAATTGAAAATTAATATGGTATGTGGTTTTTCTGCAAAAGTTACGAAGAAAATAGATACATTGACTACACTTACAGATAAACATTGAAAAGATTTGTCAAGGGATATTTACAAACTTGTGGCTTATTTCCTGTTACAACATGTAAATTGTATAAGGAAATAGTAAAAAAAAAAAAAAAAAATGTAACCCCTGTATAGATAAGAGTCGCATTTAAGCAATCATGACAACCGGGGTACAGAGAGCGTACGTGAACGTATTCCCTGGATATCGAGGATGATCTGGTACAACCTGACTAGGAAATAGAAACAATTATCTCAGACAGTTACGTAAATCTATCAACTTAACATAAGAAACTGCAAATTTATTCAGGATGGAAAAATACAACGTATTGTTATAAAAAGCGTATGAGAAACACATTTGGCGTCGTATGATATTCCAAATCAATTAAGTGTAGATAATGTTTACATCATGTAGTTATACTGCAAACATATGAAACAGAGAACAAAAGAAATTGCATTATATACATATATTTTATTATTGATAAATCCCTTATACAAGATAAATGTTCCCCTCGGCCTAGAAAGTGAGACAGAGGTGAAGGGTCAAATCTACAATCCCATTATTAGGACAAGAATTAAAATATGAATAAATTGCGAAGAAGGAACATCTGGTAAGTGTGGGCAAACACCATTATAGGATCAGGATTTCGGTCAACCAGCTTGTCTTGGCTTCTATGTAGGTGCAGGGGAAATGGCTGGATCGAGCAAAGATACCAAAAAGTAGTGCACCTTTGGTAGATTTGCACCATAAGGCAAACGTTATGTCTAGGAGTCGTCTTACAAAAATAGGATAGACGGCTCCTTCTCTCCTCTGTCTCCCTTTCCTATCCCTTCACTCCATACTTTATCCATTCTACTCATTTTCCTGTCTTTGCTATACGTCGGCTGGATGACCGAACTACTCGGTAATGAAGCGGACGTAAAACCAATCAATCAATCAATCAAATTCCGTGATCAAACTACTCAAATTCGCCTGTTGGATAACCGATCAACTTAGTAGTGAAAAAGACGAAAAACCACTCCAACGAGTTAACACTAAATATTATTTATATCTTGGATTTAAATAGAAGATTGTATATTTATTTTTAACTGTAGATGTTGATTATGTTTATATTATGCGTTTTTTTGTAAATAATCTTTGGAATTGGTTTTACACCAGGCGTCTTTTATTCAAAGTTCCTTCGACTTGACCGGTATCCCTGACCCTTACAAAGAATGGCGGTGCACAATTTATTATTATACACCAAAAAGGATTTACAATCAGACAACGAAACCAACCAAGAAAATGACAAATGCAAGTTTATAGTAAGTGGTGGGGACATTAATCGGCAAGTGGATGATTGAATTTAACCAACTTCCGGTCGTTCAATTCCAGAGTATACCCCGGTCCAATTCAATTTCAGTTTATTACCAAATGCACATTGCATATTGGCGTACAGAAATATACAAGTTGAAAAATATCTTGTACAATGGCGGAAAACATATGCAATAGATTCAATTCCATACATAATAATTACAAATTCATGAAATAGTTATAAGTTGGGGAAAACTTAAAGCTTTTCCTAAGGTAACTTAGCGGACTCTTATGAAGCATAACTTAGTTGTTTATGAAATAATACAAATAAGCCTTAAGCTAATCAAAGATACATAGAGCATAATACATGCCTTTTTCCATATCACACCCAGTATCAACCCGAAACTGCCGAAGGCCCGAGGGCTGATCTTGGTCGAGGGTTGATACTTGGTGTGATATGGAAAAAGGCATGTTTTATTCTGTTTATTACATACTTACTAATTAAAACTACTATCTTATGATCTATTTTTCTTTTGAAATATTGAAAAACCAAAAATGTCCAAAAGGGGTGTGATACGGGTTTTGCGGGCTGATACGGAGAGGGCTCATACGGGTTTTGGGGTGTGATACAGCGGGGCTGATACGGGTTTTGGGGTGTGATACGGCGAGGGCTGATATGGGGTAGAGCAATTGTGTCGTATCGCATATACAAGAACCCCGTATGTATTAGTAAGTATGTAATAAAGTTTTTAAGCGTATGGCATAACCATCACTTTTACGTGACGGGAAGGAATTAACATTATACTTTGAGGATCCCCGTACCAATACCAAAAACGTAAGTACGCATTGTAAATTGTTTTTCCCGACACTATACTATATCTTTGATAAATCTTTTTTTGTAAAGAAACGGCCATACTCTGTATCATTAGATCGGATCTTGTTGGCCCTGAGACTTTGACAACATAGGAATTTCCCAGAAAACCACACACCAGAGGAGGAGAGCACTGCCACCATATACCACCACGAAGTCATTACGTATCCAGTATGAAAATTCCATTATTATTCTCTTTATTTCCTCCAATCTGAAGATTACATTTAAACAGAATAATGCGCACATATTTACATTACAAAACAAAAAATCATATTGAATACACATAAGCACCAAATAACATACATGACATATACAGACTTAATTACATTGGAGTCATACATTCAATAAATATCATTAATAAGTGTATATATGATGAGGTAATACATACATATTAAACATTCATATATTTTTTTATATTTATTTTATTTATATTAATCTTTATCAGAATGTGAGATATCTACACACTACCGGTAGTATAATTTGTGCATCTTTTCGACAGCTGCTACTGATTTCAATCTAAATTCATTCATGGCTAATACATTTAATTCGTAAGTCATTTGTCACCCAATTAAAATATGAATTAATTCGTGATCTGTCAGAGAGTGTATGTACGCACTCAGCAGAATACCAGTATCACTAATGTTTGCGATAGAGCACCACAACTTGTCCTTTAGGTGTTCAGTATAGCTACACTTTAATATGATATGAGTTAATATATCTTGGTAAATAATACCACATCTATGACATAGCTCTTTGGCTTTACCAGTACGAATATTTATTATTAATTTCGTAACATATAATATGGAATCTTTAAACTCCGGAAATTCCATTGCCAGTTTCCATAGTATATGTGGTTGCAATATATTGTGAACCATTACAAATCTGTTACTTTCCAAACATGTTCCTCTTTCAACAACACAGATTTATTCACAATTATTTTCCATTGCCGTTTTAATGGGAATACACTCGTTCGAATATACTTGTTCAACATATTATAAAGATTGTACTTTTTAAAAATTCTCAAAATATCATTTAAAAGTCCAAAATGGTCACCAGATCTGTTCAGCATTGATGCGTATAGTCTTCTTAAAAATATACGTGATGACAATGTATTTTTGTCTAAATAACACAACCTTCCAAAAAACAACAATTTTCTTATATCTATATAGCTTTCTATGGATGTCCATCCAATCATTCCATAGCACATATCAGTACGTGTTCTGTTGCTAAAACCTTGAATTGATAATCTTTGATAAATCTTTTTTTTTGTAAAGAAACGGCCGTACTCTGTATCATTAGATCGGATCTTGTTGGCCCTGAGACTTTGACAACATAGGAATTTCCCAGAAAACCACACACCAGAGGAGGAGAGCACTGCCACCATATACCACCACGAAGCCATTACGTATCCAGTATAAAAATTCCATGTGTATGAGATCAAGATTGTTATATTTCACAAGTGTACAATAACGTTATATCGAGTGTACAGTGTTTTTCCCTTGTAAATAATTGTTGTTTTTAAAACATTATTGTATGCATAGACATTATGACAGCAGCAGTAAGACCCCAAATCGGAAAGTATTTGATGATGTTTTTAAATTAGATTCTGTTATTTTGTACGGACTGACAAGAAATGCAGCCGTAGCATCATCTTACAAACAGAGAGGGAATCTATCACGATGTTTCTTTTATTTTGTTTTGTTTTGTTATAACAACTTCACGGAGTATACACTTAATAGAATATATCAACCTGGATCTGGATGCTATATTATCGTTGTAAATTTAGTACAGTACCTGTACATGATAACGATCTGATAAAATGAATTATAAAACAAAATACAATGTCCATTGTTATATAATACATAAAGGTCAGGAACGAAGTCTTATCTCAAAAGAAAGAGTATTGAAGGCATTAACTAGAAGTATAAAAACCCTATAGAAACCAGAGACATATAAAACCAGCATATACGTCTCTGTAGAACGTTTAGAAAGTATTGTATCAAGGATTATCAGAGTCAATACAAGTTATATAATGAAGAGTAACACACAACGGATATTTGAAAAGTCTTCCTAATCAGAAACGTATATTATATTATAATTTATGACAAGGAGTGGAATCGTTTTCACATTGTTCAGCCTCCGTTATCTTGTGTATAATTAATTTTACTGTGCTTACACATCCTATAAGCTGTACTGCTTTTGGAATAAACTGAATTTTGTATAGTTATATCAACAAAACGTTTAGTACTCGATGGTCACGTG